ACTGCTGTAAACGTTATATGTACTGAATAATGTAACACAAACGTAATCATCCTGAATCAGTAGGAGTTCCACTTGTGTTTTATTTTTTCCTGCATTTTATTCAAATAAATTCTATCTGCTTGTGGTTAGCTATGCTGAGACAAAATAGTCTTCTAGTTTAGTAACACACTGATACTGTATACACAGTATCACTCTGTTCACTAAATAGCTTGGTATTGATTTTTACTTATCTAGCATAACATTTATATTACACAGAATATATGTTTTGAACAACAAAAATCACATGCACAAAGTCTAAACTCAAGGACAAAAATGTAATAAGTTTCAGTTTACTGGTTTGTAGACATAGTGGCTGAATTATTTTATTTCTTCAGGAAGAGTATTAATTTAAATCTTGAAAATGTATTTATTTTGTTCCAAAATATCTAGTGTGTCTAATATCCGGGAGATATAGAATTATCTTACTCAGAATCCAATGTAATAGTATCATCCCCCCTTTTCTTCTATAACAGTGGGCGGTGAGGTTTAACCTCCCTGGTGTTCTAACTAATCAATATTTTTTAATGTCAAAGCAGTACATTGTTTTTCATGGAAATTTGTTGTTTTATATTGTAGGCCTGTAATTCTTAGGAATAACTCACTTTAATCTGTCCAAACAAGAGTCTAGTAAACATCCCGGGCATGATAAAGTTTGAAACACGAAATCATAAATTATAATATAATAAATAATTATAAAATATAATAATACATTTAATTCAATAATGTAATCAAAGCAAATACACTAAAATTTTAAATAGAGCACCAAGTTCGCACATCGCTGAGCAAAATCGCAGAATTGTTTTCAGTGTCTGATGACAAATTTCCTCCACGAATCATTATCACTCAAATCTGCAAGTCATTCTAATTTACTAGTGCTGTTCTCTAGCTGGTCTAAAACCGCTTTTGACCTAAAGGACGCTTTTTGGACGCCATGAATGCCTCAGTTTCCAGGCAGAAAGAACGGTAAAAGTGCAGGCAGGGCACAGGACAAAGCACTAGGGACTAAATGTATGTGAAATGGTTTGATACAGTAATGTAATACTAACAGATTACAGTGCATTGTGTGTGTGTCAAATTTTAACCTTTTTGAATCTCCCGCCGCTTCTGGCCTACGTCCCGACTCTCGCAGGGAACAGAACCCGGAAGACAGATTCCGGCATCGGCCGGCGGACATGGCCGGAGGACAAAGCAGGAGGACCTTGCGGGATTGTAGGACAAGGTAAGGCTCGAGGGATTGCTGCAGTGTAATCCCGAGTGTTGCTCGGGGTTACAGCTTTTGGTACTGAAATTAACCCCAAGCTACACTCGGGATTACCGCCAGGAAGGTTAAGAGGTCCTTGTGTGAATCCAACTGGGGTAATGGCAGCAACTGTTTGTCACATCTTGGCTATAGGAGATGGTTTCCATACCTAACAGACCATGATATACGTAAGAAAAATCCTTTATATTTGAAGAGAATTTAAATTTTTTCCTTGAAACATTATTTGCTGTATTGTGGATGTCGTTGACTGTGATAAGAACCGTATATTGCAGAGTAGAGTGGTATGATTTCCCTGAGGAAGGAGTTAATGAAAAAAGCTTTGAAACGCGTTGGATACCCCAAGGTAACCAACCAACAATCAAGAACCAACAGATTGTGTTAGTGTGGACATGTTTTGTACATGCAATAGCTGGGGATACCACTGTATAGAGATTGTCAATATATGTATGGTTCTGAAAATTAACCTTGTAACAAAGATGTACAAAAAATGTTATAACTTTGTGGAGAACATGGATATGTGAAGTAATGCTTAAAAAAAAACAAATAAATTAATTTTTTATAATAATATACAGTTTGTTGTATGGTTGCCTTAAAAATCCCATGGGAAAAGGGGTTTTCAATCAATGTGATCAAATAGGGATATTGGCAGCCACAGCCACAAAAGCCTTTCATTTTCTTATTTCTTCAGGCTTTCCCCTTACTTTCTCCTGGCAAATATGCTAGTAACACACTTCTTGTACTAAGGTGGCAACACTTAACTGTATCTTTGGAGGAGCAGAGATCCCTCCTCCCCCCTCATCTCTATAACATAAGAGGAGGTGATCTGTAGTCAACAGAGAGAATTGGGGTCAATGTAGCTGATAACAGTGCAACAGAGGTAGAGAAAGGTTTCTGGTAAGGTTCACAGGTATTTTCAGAAATAATTGAGCAACTAAAACAAATTGCTTTCAATTGTATATTTAATAGCACAAAAAGAAGCAAATATGAGTATAGAAGCTAGGCACCTTTACTGGCTTTTTTTTATTGTATAAGGTGTGTTTAAAATGAACCTACATCACTCACCATTCCTTCACTCTAATTCCAGTCTCTTCAGCCTTTAGGAGCAAAATAGCCAGTACTTGCAGGTATGGGGATCATGTGACATTGCAGTGTTGGTGATTGGTGATTGACCTAGTACTCTCATAGGGTGGCGGAGAGAAAGTTGTGAGTTGGATTTTACACATGGCTTCCACTATTAGCTCCCATCAGCTGAACTGAGCAGTGAGGGAGCAAAGGGAAGGTAAGTATGTGCTTCTGGGAAGGGCAAGTTCAGTAAATTTTTTTGCTGTTCCCTGCACAGGCTAAAGCACATGTTCACTTACCCTTAAAGGGTAAGTTTACCTTAAAAAAAATAAATAAATACACAGGTTTTGCAGGTAAATAAATGTGCATTTATTATTTTTTTTTCTAAAGATCCTGGAAAGCATTGCACCCGCGATCAGCAGATTGTAGGTGCAATGTCAGTCTCCTACAGATTGTCAGTGTAGCTGTCTGCCCAGACCTCCGATACTGGCAGGCAGTTACTTTAGCCCTGGAAGAATCAATGAACTACCAGGATACTCACCAGCGCCCCTGTAGTTCACTGAGAACTACAAGCCGTCAGCTGCAAAGGTTGTTGGTACTTGTAGTCTATTTTTTTACAGAACTCTGCAAATGAATGACGACCCCTCTTTTCTTTTAAAATTGTGATAGTGGGTGCGTGGAGAAGATCTCTGGCTTGTTTGCATGGGAAGGGGGGGGGGGGGGTGTTGGGAATCAAGAGGAGAGCTGCAGGAGCGGGAACATACAAAACACACATAGCTTATAGTGTGGTGCTTAAAGAAAGAAATGGCCACACATATGGTTGTGGGTGTATGGTACAAATCATCTGAAACTGAATGCTGAATGGATAACCAGAATGTAGTGTAGGGAAAAACCCATCAATTATATGTGAGGTCCTAAAACTATTGTGAAGGGAATCCATCAAATCCACACAAAGCAAGTGTTGAAACACTATGTCCTCTATATTGAGAGTAAAAACATTTATGTTGTGCCACTTTTATCCAGAAGGTGTAACAAATCCGCAGCCCCACATGCAACCCACTGCTGGTGAAGCGAGGTATCATCTATGTCCCCTGTGGCCACCAGATAAACAAGGGATGGGAAGATGGATGGACCAGCTCACAGCACAAATGTTAAATAGGGTGTATTCCAAACCAGGAATATCTGTTGACCACACAGAAAATCACTCACACAGAAAATGATCTCACAGCAAATGACGGATGGAGCCAGGGGCGAACTGACCATTGGAGAACTCAAGCACTGCCCAGGGTCAGTAGGGGGCCCCATGAAATGCCCTGGTACCTTTTTATAGGCTTTTTTTGAGTGTGGGCAAGGACACTGGGGCCCCATGATCCCCTATTGCCTGGGGGGGGAGTTGTCAGTCCGCCCCTGAGTGGAGCATGTAACATGTTTCTGAAGGTGAATGTATCCTTTAACCTAGAGATATCCAACCTTTTGACTTTCCTGGGCCACATTGGAAGAAGAGGAATTGTCTTGGATCAAATATAAAATACACTAAAAATAAGGATAGCTGATGCAGAGAATGTAAGGCAAATCACAAGTTAACAATTACTGATATGGATGTTGTACCTATCTGAGTAATAAAACTTTTTTTTTTGTAATATTTTTATTATAAAAGTTAAAAAGGGTAACATAAGGTGCAATATTTGGCACTGTTTTTGTTAAATTAACGTATCAACCTCTGGTTTGATGGATGTAGTAGCAATTCTCAATGAATTATCAAGGTGCTAATCAGATATTTTGATTCTAATTTTGCCCTTCATGTGCTTCATCCTTGAAATTAGTTGCTCACAAATACAGGTGCTGCCAAAAACTGATGACATGAATAAGATGTGAATATGAAGAGTAGGATATTTTTCTTTGGGAAGATAAACATTCTAAAAGTCCAGTAAAGAGGCACTGTCAATTTTTTCTTCTTCTTTCCATGGGGCCGCAACACAAAATCATAAACTTTTTTTTTTAAATGTTCCCTAGTGGCAGAAATTCAGATTGTCTGAGAAATGCATTAAGAAGTGCAGTGTTACTTGAATTGTATTCCAGGATTTTCTGATCTTCAACTGAGAGAACTTTACATTAAGTCTCAGACATTTCTCATTAAGGTCTAGACATTATATAGTTTGAATACCACGTCATAGCTATATTATTTATTATTTTAAAAGAACGTATTCCACACTTCTTTTTATTTTTTTACAATTTTTCCAGAAAAAAAAAACCAAAAATGGCCTTGGAAAAAAACAGCCTTCCCATCTCTAGCTGGTAGACATCAGTGATTGATAAGGATGCAACAACTGCAGAACATAAATTTCTCTCTATATAGCTCTATGTCCTGTAACTGTGACAGGCAGCATAGAGAACATGAAAGCTGGAGTGACAAGCTCCAATCTCTTTGCTGTCCCTGGCCATTACCCCCCCCCCCCCCCCATTCCCCCTTCTGCTCACCTCTCCAGGCTCTACTAGTGTAGTGCGATGATTGCACAGGCAGAGAGTGGGCTGTGATCTGTCTGCTGACAGCTCACATTCAATACAACAAAGTCACATCTGGCAGGAACCTGCAGCAATTTTCTATATGCAAAACTGTTGCAATGCCTCTGTTAATTAGGTGCAGGGTGTGCAGCTAGACCTGGAACAGGTCTATCTGCTCTGTCAATGTGGCACATGCTGCTTCTAAATGTTTTCTGTGCTAGAGTTTAGTTAATTCCCCTGCTTGTTTATTTTATTTACTGTTAGCACTGGTTTTTTTTAGAATCACTTTTTTTGTTCTTTCTTCCCAAAAATCCCTCCGAAGCAAATAAGGATATAACTCAGCTACAGCCTAATATTACGAAACTTGCATGATTTTATGAAGCAGTAGAACTTAACTACAGGACTTGACGTATCTAAACCCAACAACTAAAATTTAATAAATTGCATTTTTACTTTCTCCATCAGCTCATCCCCCACAGCTATTACCTTTTGTATCACTTGACCTTCCCTCTTAGATTGTAAGCTCTAACGAGCAGGGCCCTCCGATACCTCTTGTACCAAATTGTATTGTAACTGTAATGCCTGCTTGTATTTTGTAAAGCGCTGCGCAAATTGTTGGTGCTATATAAATCCTGAATGATAATAATTATAATAAATTGCAACTTACATACACTTAGGTTTAGTGGCTGTGTTAATTTTTTATCAGTCATTTTTTTCCCTTGAAATTCACCTGGTGGTTCTGACAGTAACACTGTGGGGTTGATTTTCTAAAATTGGAGAGTGCAAAATCTGGTGCAGCTTTGCATAGAAACCAATTAGCTTCTAACTTCAGCTTGTTCAATGAAGCTTTGACAATAAAACCTGGAAGCTGATTGGTTTCTATGCAGAGCTGTACCAGATTGTGCACCGTTCAGTTTTAGTAAATCAACCCCTTTATGAATTAATTTGACAGCTCTCACTCACTATATTGTATCTATGGGGTGGGGCACCACTGTCACCCTAGGATTACAGAGGTAGATGTTCTGTAGTCCAAAGAGTGAGCTCACAAAATGGGCAGATATTAAAGACGCATTATTGAAAAATCAATGCAGCTTTGTATTCATTAAATAAATTACTTAACTAGTATAAGCCCCTGAATTTGACTTGTAATCCCACTATACAACACATGATATTTGGATAGGACTGCGAGCCAATCAGCTATGCGGTGTTAAAATGGGTTAAGGACCTGTTAATAGGAGGAGAGCAGAGTGAGCAGATGGATGACCTTAGTAGTCTGTTGCTGCTCTTTCACAGTCCACTTAGAATGTTTGGGGAGGATAGAGGACATCACTGTGCTTCTTAACTGTAAGCAACACAATCCACCAGGTTGTGCTGAATATAGCTCAGAACTGGATGGACTGTAAAACAAATCCTATGGCAGGGAAAACCTCTCCTATATATGCATTTCATCTGTGTATTAGCTGCTTGCCTGGAATTCAGCATTAGTCTCCATGCACACATGGTGTTTTAATAATGCTGGTAACGTTAGCTGTGTAAAGTCACATTAAAAACGTGAGTTTTTCAGCGATTTCTAGCATTTTTGCATTCGTTTTTAGCAGCATTTTGCAGCGTTTTTCCGCGTTTGTGTTTAGCGTTTTCTTTAACCAACAAAAAAATTTGGGGGGGTAAAAAAAAGTCCAAAAACTCCGGTTTGCTGTGATTTACCATGTTTTACCACGTTTTGCTGCATTTTCAGCATTTGAGCGTTTTTACAGCTAAAGAACTCCTCTAGAAACTCAATAGTCCTGGGTTTTTTTCCAGCCAGCCAGAAAAGACCCCTGCCAATAAACGTTGATTACAGTCTATGTGTGCATGAACACATAGGATAACATGCTGGGGGGTTTAATTGCTGTAGAAAAAAACATCAAAAGCCAAAAACAGCAGCTGTAAAAATGTCCAGTGTGCATGAGGACTTAAGACTACAGAAGTTAGGTCTTGATGGTACAGTGTATAAACCCAAAGCCCAACTCTAACCAGCATATTTTTTACATTTTAAATAGAGTGTCTGCTCTGTATTCAGTGCAGTTCCAGGTTTGGGCAAGCTTATATGCACATCCCTAATTGTTCTGTTGGCTCCAATCTAAGCATTGATAGTGTGATCTCTGTAACTTACAGTTGTGATGAGATAGCGATAACTTCAACCTCAGTTGGGGTTCACAGTCAGTGACTCAATCAGAATAATATCTTGCAGATCTTGTGAAGTTTATTCTATAAACGGAGAGAATCTTACAACAATAAACATTCAATAGGTCAAAAGAACATGCTGTATCCTGCTCCATGCCATGAGGCTTACTGCAATGCATCTCTGGGAGAGGGGGAGGGCTATCTATGCAACATTAGCTAAAATAGAGGAAAGGGAGGAGCAGAGACAAAACACTGAAAACATTTAAAGGCATATGACAGTCAACATGACAGTCATGAGAAACATGACACTAATGTTAGCATTTGCTGCCATTCTTGCAAAGCAATAGAGTGTCATCATCCAGGAACCCAGACACTATCTTAGACTTATCCTTATCTATATATAGTTTTATTCTAGAGCAGCCTTTCTCAACCTTTTCAACACAGAGGAACTTCTGAAATAACTCTCTGGTCTCAGGGAACACCTGAAAAAAATTACTATGTCTAAAACTCATGACACAATAGTGTGATGGTCAATGGGAAGAATGCTACTAACACTTGCGTCATTGAGAATAATTCCTCCCTTACAGAGAGCTAAAAAGATCATTGGTATCAGTAGAAATGTATCTGAGAGTCAGAAATTTCTCACTGCTCAAGGAAGCCCTATGCAACCTCACGAGGAACCCTGGTTGAGAAACCCTGTTCTAGAGTTTGTAGTTCAAATGAAACCTGCTTTGATAGTGATGTTTGTCAGCCTTATTATTTTTTTATGTACTTTATAAATAATAAAATCACCCTATGTTTTTGCACCTATGAAAGGAAAGATCTAATTGATGTTGATGTTGAGCAATTTTGAATTCTTCCAATAGAAATTATTCTAAAATAACTTTTCTACAGGAACAGTGGTATAACGTATACATTTCAGCAACCGTTAGGAAGGCTTTTCAGTGCCTTTGTTAGGAAAAACTTTAAATTGTACCTACTCTCCCATTTTTAGCACTTTTCTTTGCTCCAGCTGGAAATGAGGACATTCAGTTCACCTATATTAAATTAAAAAACCAGTGTAATGACAGTTATGGCTTTAAAACTAATTAGGATAAGTAATAACATTTGCTAATGTTAGATGTTTAGTTCTCTGGTGGCTTTTTCTCATGAAAAAATAGATGTACCATTTTTTAAACAGTAGGACAAGTCCAACAAGTAGGCTTTTATAGCCTACATTCTTCATTCTTAACTGCTTAGACGATATACAGGTAATTTGTACAGGCTCATTGTCAGTTAATTTTATAAGGTGTGTTGTTTGAATTTCATCTTTTAACATGTATGACTTTCTTATCTGCATGCTTGTTTCAGGTAGGAGAAAGTAAGGAGGCCTCATGCACACAGGACTTTTTTTAACTCTCCTAGAAGCCAGTAACATTTTCTCAGGAATAATTGCCTAACACTTTTACAAGCGTTTAGGCCTGTTTACAGGCATCAAGGGCTTGGGCATTAATGCATTTAATTGGCCAGAATAAATAATTTACTCTGACTGTTGAAATAAATGAATGCTCAAGCGCTAAATGCACCTAGTGTTAACATGCGTTTAGGCGCATTTACAAGTGTTTAAGTGCGTCAAGCGGTTTTTTAAGCCCAAATGTCGCTACTCTATGACGCCCTGGCAGTGGGTTTTTCTTTCTAACACTAAACAGTCTTGCCACAAAATGCGGCAAAAGCCTATGTGTGTATGGACACATAGGATAACATGCAGGAGAGATTAGAGGCAGTAAAAAACAAATGCCTGGTGCCCTTAGCAGTATCGTCAAAAATGCCCAGTTTGCGTGAGGCCTTAATCTCCAAACTAAACTCTGAGCTAAATGCTATTAATCAATATGCTTAAGGATACACTGTAAAAAGGCAAAGTGACAGTGCCTCCTGATAGGTCACCTTCCCCAACCTCCCAGGAAGGTGTGGTCCTCTACTCTGTTGGAGCTCTAGTAATTGGAAAAGTTTCTAGAAGCCAGTAGGCAGGGGTGAGGAAGGGCTGATTGGCATACTTAGGGAAATCTGGCCAATCCCTAGGCAGGAGGCCTGGCATGGTGGCTAGGTCAGCGCTTAAATATGAGAGAGCATGGTCAGCAGGGGAGTTGGGTGGAAGATAGAATGAGGAAGTGCTGCTGGTGTGGAGCTTGCTAGGGGGTCCCAGAGGAGGTGGCTGGAAGCTGGAAAGAAGGACCTCCACTGTCCCACACTCTACAGGGGGAAAGATAGCCTGTCAGCAGGGAAAGCAGGGAAAGAACCAGTCCAGTGTAAGGCCAGAAAGTAGCTTCAACCTTTAAAGCTACAGGAACAGGACAATCTGAGTACCCTCTACACTGGGCCAAAGATGGGAGGGGCTGGTCAGGTGCAATATCCAACTAGTTCTCCCTGGGACTACATTTCTTGTATGTCTTGGAATCCCTTGCCCTGGGATGCTCTCAATACAGCCAGGAGGATAAGGAAATTTTCATCTGGAGTCTGAGGAAGTTCATCTAAGGGGACCAAATGCTCCTTGTAAAGGCTGTATGCTGATTCTTCAGAAGATTAGAACCACTCCTTAAGGAATAGATAGCCTAGGATCTGTTCTTTAGTGATTTTGCTGGATTCTTGTCCCTTTTGTACCTAAGAATTTGTCCTCAAAGTTTTTTTATTTTTTCATTGGGCATCCCATATACCCCTAGACCGCATCCAAGTTGTTAACCCCTAATAAAACAACAAAAAACAAGCTGATGAACTGTTTACTGACTGTGGATAAAAGTGTGGAAAATTCTTGTTGCCTTGCTGTGAAGAGCGTAGAGGGACCGAAAGACTCAGTGGCCCTCAAGAGGGTAGCGCTACATGTCTATAAATGCTATTCTTACATAGTTAGCATGCAAGCATATCACACTGTTATAATGTATCTGAAACTAGGTACACTTTATGAGGGTTTACATTCTTGTCTTGCTTGAAAACCAGAATAGGGTCCAGAGGGAAATATAGAGGTACCATTGCTGATTTCCTTCTGAAAATACAACATACCTCACTATCACTGGCTTTAGCAGAACTTTTGATACGCATACTTGTTCCAAGTCAACGACTCAGAAAATA